AAGTGCCCGTTTGACAGCTGTCAAACTTGGGTTCAGTGCATTTCAATGGGGGGGGGGAATTCACCAAAAATTAACAAAGAGTCAGAACAAAGCCAAATTAAGTTTGCACATGTTTTAGAAGGTGCACTAACGATTCCCAGCATTTAAAACAGTTTTTGAACATTTTAAGACTCTTTACAAATTGCAAAAACGGACATAGCGAAACCATTGAAATGCATTGAATAGGCTTCAGTGCATTCCAATGGGGGAAACATTGTGTCGCTATGGCGATTTTCGCTTAAGGACGGCAATCCGTTCCTATTGGAACGGATTATCCAGTTTTCAATGCATCTCTATGGGAAAACGTGTTTCGCTTAGTAATGTTTTCCCATAGCGATGGTTTTTTTTTGGAACAAATTAAAATTGTTATGCGAGGCACCACTGTATAGATATATCGCCTGTCTAAATCCTGCAGTTTGGTTCTGTTGTTGTTGGACCACCTGACTTTGTTTTGTATTAAATGTGTCTGATGTCCACAACTTCTTTGTAGTCTCTTAATATTTTGACAGGGCTCTTAGTATAAATTATAGCATATGGGCTTAAAATCAGTTTGACAGCTTCTGTTCAGTCTGATTGAAGAAAGCATAAGCAATGTACCAAGATTTTCCATTGTGACTACAGGGCTTGGCTTTGGCCTCCTTTGCCTCCCCTTGGAAGACATGCATTGCATTTCAGTTCTGTGCCTCCTCTGAAGAATTTAAAACAGTGTACATATTCAGGACTCTCCTGGATTTAGCATTTAATTCCCCTACTAGGAAGAGAGTAAAAGCTGTCTGTTGGCATGGAACTTCCTCAGGTTGGGATGGGGAGAATCTATTGCTCCAAGAAATTGTTTTAATGCATTTTTTCAAAATATGTACTCCTACCCTTCTTAAAAGTACTCCATTCAAAAATGCTTTGCCCCTTGATTTTGTTAGTTGTATACACAGACCTTCATAGGCTAAGAATAAATGTGGGGTTATTTTAGTAGTTTACATACATTTTTAATGATGATATTTTATAAATATCTCCCATTCTTAGCCCTCAGGGACAAGTTGAGTTATAAATCTAAATAAATAATAGGTTGTATCTCAAAGACTGTTGAGAAAACAAGTCATCATAGAATGTATCTGGTGGGAATACTTTCTGGATCGTTAAGTACACTGCTGCATAATAGTGGGGTGCTGAAATAAAAGCTGTGCAGAAGATTTAGGTTTGGGTTGTGTGAAGCATTCCAGAAACCATGCCCATTCTTTTGCAGATCTTAAAATAACAGATGATTAGAATAACTGAGGAATGCCTTCTTCATCATCCTGCCTGATCCCACTATTTAAGAGGCCCTTTTGTGCTGGTTCACATGTACAGTGGTGCCCCGCATAGCAAGGTTAATCCGTTCTGGATTAACCATCGCTATTCAGAAACATCGCTAAACGGAATAGAAAAACCCACTGGAACGCATTAAACGAAGTTCCAGTTGGCCTCAAACTCACCGTTCAGCGATGTTCCTCCATAGCGCAGGCATTTTTGCACCCTTGTTAAGCGAGGGCAGGGTGCGAAAACGCTGCGCGTGGCCATTTTGGGTCTTCCGGTGGCCATTTTGGAACCGCCGAACAGCTGTTCCCCCCGACATCACAATGCGAAGATCGGTAAGCGAAACACTTACCGATCATCGCAAAGCGATTTTTGCCCATTGGAACCATCGGTATGCAATCACATTAGCGATCCCAAAAAACGAAGTGCTATGCGAATTCGTCGTTAAACGGTGCGCTCGTTATGCGAGGCACCACTGTATTAGAAATCAACTTGCAGACAAGCAGGAGTTTTATTTATTTATTTATTTAAAATATTTTTTACTCCACCTTTCTCCTTTAAAAAGGACCAATGTCTGCTTGCAACTTTAAAAGACAGTATGTAAAGTTAACAATGGCAAGTATATAATACTGAAAGGTTCAAACACAAACCACACTTAAAAAAATAGTAAACAAAAGCAACACCCAAACACATAGAAAGCAGTAAAGTACAACCACCTGCATCAGTCAGTTAGTCACTAAGGCTTGCCTGAAGTGAAAGGTCTTTAAATAAATAAATGTATTTATTACATTTACAGCCCACACTCCCACTAAATGATTGTGCTCAGAGTGGCTTACAGACTTAAAAGAAAAAAATCCTGGAGAGATAAAACAATTAACTCAAATATTAAAATCAAGTAATTATGTTTAAAACAATTAAAACCAACAAAATAATGCAGTTAAAACAATATAAAAGTATAGCTTTTTGTCTTTATGTTCCTATCCTTAATATGTGAACTCTGAGGTCAGAAAAAATAGAGTTTTCATTGTTGAAGGGTGTGGTTCAGAACAGAAGCATCTAGCAGAGGTTAAATGCTCTGTTATTCTATTTGAGTGCATTTATCCTGAAAATCCAAGTGGGAAAAAGAAGTGTGTGTTGAATTGCCAGGAAAAGATCCATTTTTCCCTTCCTTGTGGTCAAGCACATAATCTGTGTGCTCCCCCCAGAAGGGTAGAGTAGCAATAAATTGGCCAGCTTGCAGAAAATCTTGGTAAAGAAATATTCTCTGACACAGATTTTTCATAAAAAAGAAATATTGGATGAAATGTTGGAACATAGAGAACTATCTTAACATGAATCAGACCATTGGTCCTTCTAGCCCAGTATTGTCAGCTCTGATTGGCAGCCACTCTCCCCAGTTTCTGGAAGGATTGTTTCCTAACTTTACCAGAAGATCTTTGGTATTCCCTGGTAGTCTTCTATCTAAGTACTGTATGTACTAACCCAAACCTGACTTCTGCTTAACAGATAAGATGGGGTGTATTCAGTGTGATATAGTGAGATGTAAAAGGTAAAGATGGACTTGCTGAGATTAGTTTGTAGAATTATACCTGTCCTGTGAAACTGGTGGGTAATGTGTTAGAGGCTATGGAGATTATTCTCAGAAAAGAAAAGGAGCTAGAGAAGATAGAAGGTTTCCACAAGCTTCTTCTTGCTCACAGAGTGAAGATCCTTTCTAGTGGATGGAAAAGGATTTTAATTTTCTGAAATGACAAGTGTTGGCTTCTTATCCAAGACAGAAATTGATAGTTAGAAATAAGGGTGATGACCAAATTTGTGTTTCCTGATGTGTCAGTGTGATTTTGGTGTTGAAAAGGTGTCAGCCTAAAGGTAAACTCACCAGTAATTCTTGTTCCTTTAGGTTTCGTCAACTGTGCAAAAGCCAACATGCAGCATGGAAAATATATTGTTTGGGGGGGGAAATTCTAGTTTTATTGGTACTAAGGCCGGCCATGCAGAGAAGCACAAAATCCTCTGTAAGAACAGAGTAATCTGCAATTCAGCATTTATGTGTTTTCTATAGCTCATATAACAGAAAGCTTGTGGAGTTAAGTGTTCACTAGCTGACACAAAGCAACTTTCTACACTGCTTTGAAACAGGCATGTTGTGACTATATTATGCTGAATACAGGGAGTGACATTTGTACCACTTAATTCAGTGTTAAGGGTGGAAAATAATATGAACAGATAATAAACATCTGGTTTTGAAATTTGTACTGTATATATGTCCCCTTTTCTGTGACTTTGCTGTCAGTAAACTATTATCCCTTTAACCAGGAGCCAAGGTAGCTAGAGCTTATTTAAATTTTTGCATAACTCATCTGGAGAGCATCAGATTGTGTTAGAGGCATCCAACAGGCCAGCCATCTCCCTAGCTGGTTTCCTATTTCTGATGTATTTAACAAATGTTAAATTATTTCTTCTAGTGTTACTAGTGGTTTGCATCTCAAATCTGTTTTAGCAGCCTTTGTTATCTACTTCTATGTCTTTTGTGAAAAAAAGAGCAGTTTTATGAAGGAAACCCCCCTCCCTTCTAATAGCTTGGTTTAGATAGCTTATTTATTATGCTGGTGGCTTCTGATTGCTGAAGTCCTGGGGACACTTGAGTTCTGTCAAATATTCTTAGGTATGGAAGCGAGTGAGTGAGTGAGTGTGCGTGTGTGTGTGTGTGTGTGTGTGAGAGAGAGAGAGAGAGAGAGAGAGAGAGAGAGAGAGAGAGAATATAGGTAAGCAACCTGATACCCTTCAGATATGTTAGACTACAACTCCTATAAGATCTAGCTTCCTTGGCCTGTTATTTGGGGTTATGGCGGGTTGTAATCCTTAATATCTGGAGGATACAAATTTTCCGATTGCTATACTATATTTTCTTTTTGTTTCAAATGTAATTTATCAAATTCTGTGAAAAGAGGTGACAGACACTTGCTGAAATTCTGTTGCTCAGTGATGCAAATGTCATAACTTTTAAAGACAGATTGCCATAAATTAAGGTACCTCTGTAGACCTTATCTATTGCAGGTGGAGTTGCCTTATTTAGCATGCAGTTGATGATATCTGTGTATACAACTTAAGCCGCCCAGAGACGTTTGGATAGAGTGGGCGGCATGAATGAATGAATGAATGAATGAATGAATGAATAAATAAATAAATAAATAAATAAATAAATAAATAAATAAATAAAAATAAATAAATTTATATCAGTTCACTTCTATGAGTTGTGCTATTTACAAAACTGTTACAGGGTTTTAGGTACTGTATTATAAGCAACATTATATTAACAAAAATCTGTGAGTGGAGAAATCTAAAGGAGACCACTGTGAGCAGCATCTGTGAGAGGAAACAGAGGATTGTATGCCAGCTATAACATGATTCTGATGAGGTGATGATTTAAATGATGATTGGATCACAAAGGTTTCATTTTTAGCCACATACAAACTGGATATTCTTAGTACAAGTTAAATAGAGTTCTGTCATGCGTATGTTAACTACAAAGTAAAATAGTCCCTGACAAAAACAATAACAAATAATACGTAAAATAAATAATAATATGATATTGAGAGAAATCAAGAAGCTGGACATATGGGATACTAGTAGTTTAATGTTGCCTGTTAACATCTTCTTTTGTTTCTCAGGAGGCTTTTGGAGTCTTCACTTATTTCACTATCGCGTTACGATGGGGCAGGATCCCGGGAGCATCCAATCTATCCTGATCCAGCTAGGTAAGGACAGAACTGAACCTACTGGTTATCTTGTGCTCTTGTATGAACCACAGAATTACAATATGAAGCATACCATCTGATTTTTCTTCAGTTCTGGCTATTCCATTCACACCCCTGCTTGTTTACACAAAAGGGTATGTGTAGTTGGGAAGGAGGAATGCTGTGGAAGTATTTTATTTCATTGGTCTTTTATTCCTGAAGTTCTCTTCCCAATCTATTGGCATGCCATCTCTCTTTAAAATCCATCTTTTTCCATAGAGTTTTTGACTTAAGCCTTTTGGCCTTGTCTCCATCTGAAATGAAACCTAAGTTTGTGTAACAGCATTTGCATCTGCTTATTTCTAGTTCTCCTTGTAGCACCCTTCCTTCCCATACTGTTAAAAAAGCAAAAAGCTAAGAGCTGCATATGTTCTTTATGGGTAATCTGTAATGAACCACCTGTGTCAATATTTATAGAAAAAATAACAGGGAACTGAGTTTAAGGAGCTGATTTTTCTCATATGAATTATAAATATTTATGCATGTTCATGAATTTTGAGGACTGGCTGTTTCAGTGCTTCATTTCGATAGTACAGTTGATTATGGGCAAGCACAAACAGAGTGCAAAAGAGATGGCTTGAGCTTCCTTGGCAGTACCAGGGATAAAGGTGTCAGATTTAGAGGCACATTACTAGAACTCTTTATTAATGGAAAAGTATAAAAATGATGATGACAACTTACTTGGATTTGAGTAGGACATGCACATTCAGAGTGCAGCAAAATGCATTTTCGGCAGGGTGGGGGAGAAATAATAAGGCAATGAAAAAATGTTCTAAAAAGAAGGTGTCACTGATCCACTGATGGATTTGAAAAATGTAATTCTTGAAAGAACAAAGGAATTCATTTAGTTTGGAAAGGATGAATTTTAGACAGGCAACCACGTATGCATGTGCATAAATGCTTACATGCGCAAACTGAACTTGTATGTAGACAATTAAGTTAAAGAAAGAATAAGTAAATATATGGGGAAAAAATCATTCCTGAAGGTGATACAAGTAGCGAATATGTTTTTGTGTAAATGAATTGATGCGGAGCGATGTCGTGAAGGAAGCATGCTTTGATCAATATAGGGAAGGATGAAATTATCAATGTATAAACTGGTTGGTAAAAACTGCTGTCTCATTGATACAAACTCTCTTTAAAAAAGAGAACGAAACCAAGCATTGACTCTTTTTTAAGGACATAATCAAACACTTTCTTTTAAAAAAGGAACTATTGACAGAAACAAGTGAGGAAAGTTGAAAAATGCACCATTTGAAAGATGGCACAGTCAGCAACAAAACTGCTGACAGTTATTTCTGAAGTGTCACAGAATCATACATTTGAGAGTAAATGTTCTTCATAAGAGACAAAAAGGATTCCTAAAAGTTGTCATCCTAGCAGCTGTTTATAATTCAACATACAGTGGTGCCTTGCAAGACAATTGCCTCATGGGATGATTAACCCGCAAGATGATGGGTTTTTGCAATCGCTGTGGCGCTTCGCAAGATGGTTTTTCCTATGGACGATTTTCACAAGATGATGTTTTGGTCTATGCTTAGCAAGATGCTTCCCCCCATTGGAACGCATTAATTACTGTATTTTTCGCTGCATAGTGTCTTATGGAGTGAATACTGTAAAAAATGGTTCAAAACCTCTTCAGCCACCCTGACCCAGAAGCCTCCCACAGTTCCACCAGTGTTCCAGAAGGCCTCAAACCAGCACCAGAGACTGCTCACTGTGGCAGCTGTATTGGACCTTGCTGCTCTGCCATCTGAGCTGCTGGCATTCCAGGATCTGCCTCTTGGAAAGCCACCAGGGCCAATGGGCCTATGGCTGCAAATTTAAATGGCAGACGATGGTGAAAAGAGCCAAGGACCAATGGGTAAATAGATTCTAAAAAGACCAAGGAAGGCACAAATGCAATCCCCCACTACCACAAATTATGCAGTTGAGTTCCCCACATTTGGGGAAATCACAGGGATCAGCACACCTGAAGTGCAATGGATGAGCCTCACCCTGGGAAAACCACTTTCATGATCATGGTACAGTGGTGCCTCGCATAGCGATCGCTCCGTTTTATGGCAAAATTGCTTAGCGATACTGTTTTTGCAATCGCAGAAGCGATCACTTTGCAATGGTCCCTATGGGTGAATTTCACTTTACGATGATCGCAGGAAAGCGATAATTGCAAAGCCCCCATTTTCAGCCAGCTGATCGGCGGTTTCAAAATGGCCGCGGGGTAAACAAAATGGCCACCCGCTGTTTTCAGGCATGGATTCCTCGCTTTAGAGGCACCGAAAATGGCGGCGCTATGGAGGATCTTCGCTTAAAGATGAGTTTTAAGCCCATAGGAATGCATTAATCGCGTTTTAATGCATTTCTATGGGCTTTTTATTTTCGCTTAGCGATGTTATCGCTTAGCAGTGATTTTTTCGGAACGAATTAACATCGCTAAGCGAGGCACCACTGTATTTCCCTAGCAAGGTATGAGTTGGAGTGGCCATTGCACCATCAGGGGCTGGGTGTTCCTCTCACAATCCTCTAGTGCTACACTAGAGGATTGTGGGAGGAACACCCAGCCCTTATGGGGGTCCTGCGGGGCACCCCAAAACACTGAGGAGCTCTCTTGGCCTCTGGCGGGACTGGGGCTGTGCAGCCCTGTTCTGAGCGGGAGGTGCAGCCAGGGGGTCACCATGCCTTGGGGGGGCAGGGCACAGAAGGGGGCAGGAGGTGCAAGGGCCACTCCAACTCATACCTTACAAGGGAAATACCATGGTCATGAAAGTGGTTTTCCCAGGGTGAGGCTAATCCATTGCACTTCAGGTGTGCTGATCCCTGTGATTTCCCCAAATGTGAGGAACTCAACTGCATATTTTGTGGTAGTGGGGGATTGCATTTGTGCTTTCCCTGGTCTTTTTAGAATCCTTTTGATCTCTTTTTCCCCCATTAGGACCTATGGCAAAGGCAGCAAGTCCTGGTGAAGTCTTTTATTGCATTCTCCCTCTTTTTCTCCCCAGTGGCAAAGGATCAGGGCAAAAGGAGTCACCATAATCAGGAGCCAGGGGGCTGCTTTCACCTTCTTTCTTTGCTGCTGGAGGGAGAAAGAGGGGGAAGGCCATCTGAGACCCACTGCATTTCCAAAGGCAGTGCAGGTGAGGGGATTGCTTTTCCCCAATACGGTAGATTTCAGTGTATTCCTGTGGGGAACCATGTTTTGCAAGACAATGTTTTCTATGGACGATTTTCGCAAAACAGCGATCCCCCCCATTGAAATGCATTAAATAGATTTCAGTGCATTCCTATGGGGAAACAGTATTTTGCAAGACAGCGATTTCCGTGGAACGAATTAAAATCGTCTTGTGAGGCACCACTTTAATTTTTTCAGCAGAGGAGTGGAATGTCCACCTTCAGCTGAGTCCAGTCTTCAGAGTTTCCACATCCATCCCATTGAAGTTTTGACCAAGGATCTTTCCCCTAATTGACACACATTAATAGGGGAGATCAGACAGCTGTGCTAAGTCAAGACCAGAGTGACATAAGTTTTTAAAGTAAAGGAATGGAAGGGTTGTGAAGAAACAGGGGATAGTACTCAAATATGGACAGCTATGTGTTGATTAGTTTATAACTTAATCAATAATCTTACATTATGACAAATATAATTCAGACAAACACTGACATCTTTTAAACAAGGGTTAGTAAGTGGGACGAAGAGCCATTTTACTTGTAGTCCTAGCAGAAGGAGCTAAATGGACTACAAGTAAATTTTGTAGAGCAAAAATAAAACCAAAAAGACTTATTTGTATTTTGATTTATTTTCTAAAGGCTGCAGTAGTGGGTGTTTTTTGTGTGTGTGTGAACTGAAAAATTAGTTTAAGCAGGCAAAAATCAAGCTGAAAAAACCTCCTTGTACCCATTGACTAAAAACATCTAAATTTTTAAAGGGTGTGTTGTTGTTGTTTAGTTATTAAGTCATGTCCGACTGTTCGTGACCCCATGGACCAGAGCATGCCAAGCCCTCCTGTCTTCCACTGCCTCCCGGAGTTTGGTCACATTCATGTTGGTAGCTTCGATGACACTGTCCAACCATCTCATCCTCTATTGTCCCCTTCTCCTCTTGCCTTCACACTTTCCCAACTTCCTGTCCCATGTATAGGGTCTTTTCCAGGGAATCTTCTCTTCTCATGAGATGGCCAAAGTATTGAAGCCTCAGCTTCAGGATCTGTGCTTCCAGTGAGCACTCAGGGTTGATTTCCTTCAGGATGGATAGATATGTTCTCTTTGCAGTCCAGGGGACTCTCAAGAGTCTCCTCCAGCACCACAGTTCAAAAGCATCAATTCTTCAGCAGTCAGCCTTCTTTATGGGCCAGTTCTCACTTCGCTACAGGAAAAAACATAGCTTTGATTATGGGGACCTTTGTCGGCAAGGTGATGTTTCTGCTTTTTAAGATGCTGTCTAGGTTTGTCATCGCTTTCCTCCCAGGAAGCCTTTTAATTTCATGGCTGCTGTCACCAGCTGCAATGATCATGGAGCCCAAGAAGGTAAAATCTGTCACTGCTTCCATATATTCCCCTTCTATTTCCCAAGAGGTGATGGGGCCAGTGGCCATGATCTTAGTTTTGTTTGAGGTTGAGCTTTTGACCATTTTTTGTGCTCTCCTCTTTCACCCTGATTATGAGGTTCTTTAATTCCTCCTCGCTTTCTGCCATCAGAGTGGTATCATCTGAGGTTGTTGATATTTCTTCCGACAATTTTACTTCCAGTTTGGGATTCCTCCAGTCCAGCCTTTTGCATGGTATATTCTGCATATAAATTAAATAAGCAGAGAGGCAATATACAGCCTTGTCGTACTCCTTTCCCAATTTTAAACCAATCAATTGTTCCATATCCCGTTCTAACTGTTGCTTCCTGTCCCATGTATAGATTTCTCAGGAGATAGATAAGGTGGTCAGGCAAGAACTTGCCATCGTTTGCTGTGGTCCACACAGTCAAAGGCTTTTGCATAGTCAATGAAGCAGAAATAGATGTTTTTCTGGAATTCTCTGGCTTTCTCCATAATCCAGCGCATGTTAGCAATTTGGTCTCTGGTTCCTCTAAAAGGGTGTGTAGGGGTCCTCAAAAGCTGCAAAATTTCACCTTCTTTACCCCCAGAGGCCACAAAACTATTTTACTGCATGCAGCAAGTTTTTTAAAAAAGTATTTCAAAAGTTGGGGTTGGCTGTGAAAGTACATGACTGCTGGGGTCCACTGACTATCTGGTGCTCATCTTGGTATAGGTAATATACTAGCTTTCCATAATAAGCCAGTTGTTATACAAGGGCACCATAAAGAAAGAACTTTTTGGTGTATAGTATCCTTTATTTAATGCAGTGAAAGGCCAAAGTATCATGAGACCTCAGCCTTTCAGAGGGATAGTTATCCTATGAAATAGCAGGAAGAACAGACACGGCTTACCTGTTTTTTGTTTTGAAACATTGGCATTTCAGTACCAGTTAATGTAGTTATATAGTATGTTTTAGGTGGGCCTGTTACAAACAGAAACAAAGTAAATCACCTTTCACATCTGTGGGAGAGTGGTGTTCAAGCAAATGTCTGCAGATAATAAATCAAATTTCTGATAAAGTAAATCCAGGAAAAGGGACAGATTTTCTATTCCACCTATAGATGTACACAATACATTTGTAATCCTAAATGTACTTTTAAAATAATCAAGTCCCTGTATATTTCATGCAAGCTAACAGTGATCTCTTGTGTTCTCAGATTATCTCCTGCTGCTTATTATGCCCAGAGAATGATCCAGTATCTTTCACGCAGAGATAGTATTCGCCAGCGCTCCATGCGATATCAACAGAATCGGATCCGTTCTTCCTCATCTTCTGCTTCCACCTCTGAGAATACAGGCCCATCTGTGGAAGGGAATGATCTAGAATTTGAAGACTTTGAGTAAGTGATTATTCTACCAAGGAGTGTGCCTTCTTTCTTTTTTTCCCACACGTGCCTCAGACATTTTGTAAAGATTGGAAATGTAGTTTATACTTCTAAAAAATAAGGAATTTAAAACATTAATTGGTCTGTTGTTTTTGACATCTAGAAGACAAGTAGGCTATTAGCAGTCACCAAAAACATTGTCTGTCCCAGCCTGTGTAAGAATCCCTTCTTCCCCACTACTGTAGTTCTGTCAGTTACATTTATAAAGATACAGTATCTCTGTTAGTATGCTAATCCTGATTTCTGTAACATATTAAAGGGGCAGAGCATTTCTGAGAACTGTCAAGTGTTCATTGCCACAGCAACACTGTGCATCAAGTGAGAGTTGTTCTGGCTCTAACAATAGATCTTAGAGTGGTTTAATAGAGCAGCTAGGAGTTTCTAATTCTCAGCTGTTTAACAATAGCAGTAACATAATGAGCCCCCTCCTGCTCTAAGTTATACAACTGAAACAAATGTTTTGAGCAACCAGTGGATTTTATTGTCAGTGCCATTCAGTTGTGGTACTCGGAACAATTCCTGGGCTCACAGTTTTTTAATTCTAATTGTCGTTTCTGCTACTCTTCTGTTTGTGGATCTTGAAGTTCTAATACAAAAAAGGTGAAAGAAAATAGGCCATGCAAGTCAGAATTTCAGGATCTCTTGATTTCTCCAGTAACAAGTCTCTGTGTATATTAAACAAAAAACAAGAACAAAAGTAAAAGACACAGCATTGTGGCACCTTAAAGACTGCCGATCTCTCTCTCTCTCTCTCTCTCTCTCTCTCTCTCTCTCTCTCTCGTTTGCTTCTGGTTTGTTTTTTCTTTTCTTTTTGTCTGATATGCTTGCACAGACTAACACAACTACTTTGAAAATTATAGCCCATAAATGTCATTATGGCTTTTCTGGCCTGCTATTCGTACATCTCATAAGCTTAATCAGTTTCTAAGCAGGCTTGGACCCTTTCAGGTGTCCATTTGCTCTGTTTTCCTTATTGTTGTTCTAAACAAAAACATACTGTAGCACTTCAAGAAGATACCAACAGTCTTGTGTGGTTCTGGACCCATATATGGTCTTTAAATTATTCAGCTGAATGATAGTTTTTTCATACCCTTAAAATCCTTCAACTAGAATTGGGGATGTGGAATGCTGTATCATAACATGTCCTCATTCTGTACTGCCACCAGATGGTGCTAGAAATAAAAATCTTTCATGCCCTTGAATTGCAGTTTAAACCTCTCGTGAACCAGGTAGTCAGAATTTGTCTTTTTCCAGAGCAACAGGAAATAATCTTATGGAAGAGGACTGATGGTGGAGGCAGTACCCTTGTTCTTTGGCGCTGTCATTTCATGCTTCAGCAATTAACTGCTCGGAAGCGCAGGGGAATGAGTATGTCTTCCCCTTTTCATTGTGGTTTTGTTTGTGTAAAATGTAAATGAGAGGAGAGATGTAGAGGTATCAGCTGCCTAATAGCTTTCCCTAAGCAGCACCACAGGCTGCTGGAGTAGGAGTGAGGCAGCCTGCTGGGACCCATTGTGATGAGGAGAGCTCAGCAAGAGCAACCCTCACTTATTTCCATTACTGCCTCCTATTCATCCTCTGGGGAAGGGGGTTCAACTGCTAAAAAGAAATGGTAGAGTCTTCATTCACAGAGCTAGGCAGATACCTGTGGAGAAATGTGTTCCCCTGCAGATAATATTCAAACAGGAACAGGTCCATTCAGGAAAGTGATTCAGTCAGCTATAGCAAGACTGCCTTTTATTTCTTGCTGAGTGGGGAAAGGAGTGTCTTTCTGTCCTATGGAGTAGCTGTGCTTTTTGGTAACAAATGTTTTATTGTAATCTTAGCTCTTCTGTGTGTTTAAGGTAGTCTCTCCTTTTCATGCAGTTATCTTCTTTGCCCAATAGAGAAGCTGGCCTTTGAGGTGGAACCTTCCCCACTGATATTTAACAATGAAGGTGGCTTTCTTTGGGATGCATTTGTTAGCATAATCACTTCTTTGCATTTATATGTATATGTAATATCAATATTAAAAAAAACCCACAGAAGCCCTTTTCAATTTGGAACAGTGAGGCTTCTGCCTTTTCAAGGGCAGAAACGGTAGAGTGTCTTTTACTTCCTCCACTCTCTTGTTCTATTATTGCATAAGAATTTTAGATTTTTAAAAAGGTCCAGGATTCTACAATCCTGTTTAACAAGTCTTGCTGAAGTAGTAGATTAAGTAGCTGTTGGTGTTTAGGAGAATAACCTCCCTTCCTGAAAGTTCATGTGTTACTAGTCTGGATAACAGATGTTTGCATTATGTGACTTGTTTTAAACTTCTCAATATAAGTAAATGTTTTGTATCCCATGAAATCTTACAAGTTGTTTCTCATATTATTATCCTCACAGTAACACAGTGACCTTGATTAGGGTAAAGAGAGATTTGCTAAGGTTATGTGTCCATTTTTATTTCTGAGCAGGGAATTCGAAGTTGAATTTTCAGCACACCTATCTTACACCTAGCTCCTTCGCTGTGTTTGTTTTGTTGAAAAAAACAAAAGAGATGTGTTATTTTAGCTGGCTCAATGTTTTTGGAAAATGAAACTAAGCATTGTTAATCTTTTTGTATTATTTCTGCCTCTAGAAGCTGTTGTCTTGCATAGTTTGTGTTCTTGCAGTGTTCAGAAATTCTACAGCACATTTTGAAATAAGAGTGTTTTTAGTAAGAATTAGTTGTTGATTTAGTTTTGCATGCTCACAGCCCCCTCTTTATATACCTGAGGTTTTGCTGTTGTAATATGTTTAATCCCAAATTTGGTCTCACTAGAGTTGGATCTGCAGTATATTGTGTTAAACATAAAAAGATTAAATGTCTAGGTTGAAACATTTCTGCATAGGAATATGGCTGCATATGGAATTTGCCATCTGTCTTCAGCAAGTGATGGAGAATATGCAAACTTTGTTGTGTTTGACATGCACTAGAATGGAGATTTTCTGGACAGCATGTTGCTCTGCTGTCTGAAAACCATCTCTGAAATCTTTCATCACTGTTTCATAAACTGTGACTGCCTGCCTCCCATAAAAAATAAGCTGTTTAATAGAATATCGATCAAAAACCACTTGGTACAAAAAAGCTTGTTTAGAATTTGTGCCCATTTTAATCTTGCATTGCTTCTGTTTGTTACAACATTTGTGATAACTTATCTCATGAACAGAAAACAGTGCTGGAGTTACAGTGTCTTTGCTATCATATTCTTCGAACCAGATTTTATCATCAAATTATTCTGTGCCCTTTCTTTATTATTATTAAATACCAGGAAGGAGCTGGTGTGAAAGGCTGCTTTGTTTAGCTTGCATAGACAGCTGAACCATCTTCACTGAACTAGCAACACTATACAGAATCTGAATAATTATTAATAATTATTTCAAGAGTCTGTATATTAATGAGTTGCTGTACATAAATCAAAATTAGACACAGGTCCTGCACTCAGGCATGCAATGTAAAAGACAGGACACATGAGAAAGAGGAGTGAAGAAAGAAGGTGCAAGAGGAAGATCAATTTGACAGTGCCAGAATAAATTTGTCAAGACCATCACTCATAACAGAGTGATGATAAAAATAGGGAGAGAGAGCGAAGCTACTTTGTGTGTCAAATTATTTGGTGCAGACTTGATACAGTAACAGCATATAATGTGAGTTACATTTTCAATGTACTTTCTAGATTTGAGATAACTTTTCTTCTAGAATATTAAGTGACTCTCTCATGAGCAGAAGAAATGCTTTACTGGAAATACTCTTTTTGATCCAACCTATTCTTATGACCTTTAGATTTTAACAAGGAGCTGGCTGACTGATAATTTTAATCTTGATAGTTTCTGGTGAAAAATCTAGGTATTATGATACTGAATTGTGTCTGCAACAGACTTCAATACTTACAATGTTACAACACTTACAACTAATTGGAGCAGTTTTGGAGAGAGGTAGTCAGCAGGAGTAGGCAATCCTGTTTCTTTCAAGCATTGCCTATCTTTTCAAGAGAAGCTAGAGGCACATCATTGTTCCTGAAAAAGCATTCCAGTTTAGATCAGTGTGACCTGACACAAGGATGAGTTAGTTAAAACAGCCAAAACCAAGAGAATATGAAATTTTAAGCCCTAGAAGCCAGGAAATGCCCAGAATGCTCAGTGACAGGAAGAGTGGGAAAATTCACACTTCTGTCTGTTGCTCACAGTTATGCACATAATTTCAGCACCAGTGTTTTGTGTGTGCAGAATACTCCAGTCCCTAGTAATGGAAGCAGTAAAAAAATGACAGTTTTCTGAAGAAGTGTCACAGGAGATGACTTTTGCATGTACAAGAGTATACAGTATATGAGAACAGTGTACTTGTGCTTTCACTTGCTGTTCTCAGGTTTCTGTTAGGTTCAACAGAAGTGATCATAATTCATCAGGCCAGCCATGTAGGGATAGAAACATTTATGTATTGTATTGGTACCAGAGCTTGGTACTAAATAGTTAGGAAAAAAGTAGTTACTTATAATGACTTATTTCCTAGTAACTAAAGGATATTAATGTATTTTAACTTAAGGGGGTACAGTAGTACCTTGGTTTATGAATACCTCGGTTAACCTAAATTTAGTTTACAAATGGAAATCAATTGAAAATAATGCCTCAGTTTACGATTTTTTTCTGTAGTACAAAGGAAGTTTCCCCAGAATGCATTCTGCCTGGAGGTTTATAGCGCCGCCCCATTCCTATGGCAATTCGTGTTTCGGTTTACGAATTTTTCACATTATATAATGTCTCGGAGAACGCATTGAATTCGTGAATCGAGGTACTACTGTATAACATAATTCCTTTTACTGCATGATTGTCTGCATAACTGTAACGTTACTTGAAATAACAATGATGTGAACTCATTGAGTAATATAGGAAGAATTTCAGGTGGTTTAAATGCAAGCTCATGCTATGCCTGTTGCTGCTCTCCTGGGCTCTATTGTGGATATTGAGATGCCCAGAGGCTAGTAATTTCTAGCACAAACCAATAGCTTTGTGGCATTAAGAGGTTTTTAAAATATATGACTAATTGTTGTAAGTACTTTTAAGGAATAGGGTAGTAACCCATTGCTACTTTAAAATCCCTGTTACTGTTCAGTCTCATAACTGTAACTATTTACTTTTTAAAAATAAATTGATGTGAGGCCTGTCACATTCTCTCAGCCTGATCTACCTCACAGGATCATTGTGAGGATATAATGGGGAGGAGAGGCATGTATGTCACCTTCAACTCATTAGAGGAGTGGTGGGATATAAATCTAACATAAAATAAACAGAGTCCAGTTGTGTTTTATACAGCTTGAAATGCTGTGCAGTATTCTGGCTGTTGTGAGTCTTATACTTATTTTGTTGCAATCTAGTCTTGAACTTGTAGTGGACCTATAAGTCTAGAAGGGAGGAAAGTCTTCATGCGAAACATCTGTGGCATGATAGACTGAACATAAATTCAACACAGAGGAGATGGAAGTACTTTGGTCAAGTGACATCAGAATATATTTCTTTACTGACAACTCTGATGGGTTCTACCAATGAGCCCTGGTACCACATCTAACTGAAAGCACAGTACAACTAGTCAGATGCCCTGTGGATGAGTGGCCATAATATCCTGTTAATCAGTACTGGTGCTGCTTTCTTGTACTGACAATTACTATTTTGTCCTATTTCTGTATGTATTTGTCAAGGGTTCTCTTTCCTTTTTTGAAACTCCCAGTTACACTAGTGGTTGGTAACTCATTGTAGCCATTGAATACAGTAGCTCATTGTTGATTTGATGATTATTTATCAGTGAGTGAAGCAGGGTCAGAGGGGATTCATTTAGTTTCCAGGTCAAAACACAGACTTGTGCCTTTTTTTTCAAATTGCCTTTCCTGTAACAGTTTATCTTCAGCATTTAGCAGGGCTCTGCTTCAATGGATAGTACTTGACCAGGTGATGAATCCACTTGTATTTGGTACTTGACAGAGATACTTGATCTTGTGAAGTGCTGTGTTGCAGAAATCTCTTTATATTTCTTCAGATGACTCTGAGAGAAGTAATCAAGGCTACATTTTTTTAATTCTTGAAAGAATCAATAACTTGCTTACCTCCGTATCATCCTGCTGGCTTAAAATTGTAGCTGATAAATTGGCAAGAAATAGTATGGTATTTTCTTTCAGTAGCAGAAGAGGATACCATGTTTAACAACTGGAGAAAGGCCAGTCTTAAAACTTGGTAGGCATAGTAATATGGTTTTACCTGATTCCTTTTCTAAAATCATAGTTGGCTACACAAATGAGATTTGGGTGGAAAATTCCAGTATGAATACTATTCCTCATGGTGATGAAATCCTTCAAAATGTTAGAATTTTTAAAAGTATGTTTTTATAACATTTTTCTTTTAACTAATTATAATTCTTTGGTAAGAATTATATTGAAGCAAATGGTTTGTTCTTTCAATAAGACTGCTTATGCACAACAGCTCTGGGCCAGTGGTAGAAATTAGTATTCCTTTGGTAGACCATCCTCTCAGTAGTACTGATTTGCATAACACTCAACAACAAACCAACTCTTGTTTTGTGAGCCAACAATGGCATATGAGACCTCTTTGCTTTTGTGGTACTGGGAGACTGACATGGAGTGGTAGAGGAAACTAGACAGATGGTAGTTACAGGTATCACAATCACAAAGAACATGATGATGTGGTTTCTTCAGGGTACTCTGGGCCCAGTCCCAAACAAAAACCAGGCTTAACTTCCAGTTCAGGGAGAAATATCTTCTGTACTATTGCCAAAAGGACCCTAAATTGTAAAAGTCTATGGAAGAAGAGGAAAAAGAGAAAAAAAAATGGGTTAGAAAAGTAGATTGTGTTCCCACATCTCCAGACAATACTGTGGTGAGCTGAAGTGTGCCAACTTGTTGGCTGCTAGGCCAAATCAGAGTGTGTCACATTTGCTTGACCGTCAAGACTCAGAGCACTCGAAGGCAAACAATCCCCTATTTTACACTGTTGCCACCAGGTGATCACTAAATCACCATTACTTCAGGAAAATGAAGATTCCGTTCCACTCTTCAAAGTCTGTTAAATGGGATTTTTGTTTATTAATTACAGAAATAGATATTGATTAATGAATCTCTCTCTCTCTCTCTCTCTCTCTCTCTCTCTCTCTCTCTCTCTCTCTCTCTCTCTCTCTTTCTTTCTTTCTTTCTTTCTTTCTTTCTTTCTTTCTTTCTTTCTTTCTTTCTTTCTTTTTGGTCTTACATTCCCTGTTGAGCCAGGACCATTGAGCTTCAGACGTTCTTTCTGAGTGTCTAATGGATAGGTGCAAGAATTACGTCCTGGTAGACCTTGCAAATGTTCTGGGTCCCCAAACAAGCATGTTGTTCTAGCAATGCCAGGCAGTTGCCAAACTTTGATTCATTGACTGTGTTTGCATACCACAGTTAACCAAAACTCTAAATAGCCACTGTGATGTAGTGATTAGAGTGTTGGAGTAGGACTTGGGAAGCTTGGGTTCAAATCCCTATGTAGCCATGAAATTTACAGTGTAGTGGGACATTCTCTTCCACCCTGACCTACTACATAGGATTATTGAGAGAATGAACTGGACAGGAAAAAAGCCACGTACTGGGATTCACTGTAGTAATAGCAGGATATCAGTTTAAAAATAGATAAATGTTGACATATTGTGGATGATCTTGTGTTTAATGCATACTACTTGATCAGTCCTGCTCGACTATTCTGCCTAGAGGAAACAGTTAAATAAACTGTGGAGTTTGAGCTTATCACTCAACTACCATGGTTCTATTTGGCTTGTGATTCTGACAAGTTGGAGAGGAGGCAAGAGTTCCCTATTTGCATGTACTGTACTGATAAATAAATCATAGATGGAAGGTTAACCATCATCCATCTGTGATGTGTTTAGCAGCTCTTGTCTTGACTGAAAAGCACTGCAAATGTTTTTATAAACAAAAAATGGTTGGCTGTTTTAGTTAATTATTGACCCCAACTATTGATTAGGTAATTAACTTATTAATTAGGGCATGGTAAATAGAAAGTGGATACCCAGTGTGGTGCAGTGGATAGAGAGACAAACTAGGACTTAAGAGGCCTGGATTGATTCCCTTCTCAACCATGAAAACTCACTGAGAGTGTGGAATTACTAAAGCTGCTCCTTAAATATCTCGCTTAACTTGAAAGCTTTATTAGGGTCGCTATAACTGTTTCACTTGATGGCACATGAAAACAGTAAAAAAAAAAATGTCCAGAACCTGAGTAGATCTCTGAGTAGATATCTGGCTGATTTGTTTCAAATTGATAAAGATCTCTACTCAAAATTATTTACTGAAAGCAGCCACAAAATGTTTCCTTGTGAAATTTGTAATTAAAATGCTGCTTTTTCCATCTGAAGGGACAATGGAGACAGATCAAGACACCGAGCCCCTCGGAATGCCCGTATGTCTGCACCATCCCTTGGACGTTTTGTTCCCAGGTAAGGCATGTATGTCCAAACAAATATACTGTTCACAGTCTGTGTCCCAGGAGAGTTAGCACTGTTTCTTACCATGTTGGTCTCCCCTTTCTAGGCGTTTCTTGCTGCCAGAGTATTTGCCTTATGCTGGGATTTTTCATGAACGTGGTCAGCCTGGTTTAGCCACTCACTCCTCTGTTAACAGAGTTTTAGCAGGTCAGTATCTCTTGTTCCTCTTTTTTTTGGAATATGCTATATGCATATGTGGATGATGATTGGTGTGAAAATGAAGATGTGGTGGGCCTGTAATGTTTTAGTGGGAAAACATGCAGGGATGGATTCAAAAGGAACCAAATTCTTTTTCTTTACAGATTTTTGGGAATGTCTGTTAATATACATTGTACATTAGAAAACTAGAGGCATCCAGGGGAATCCTAGAATGGAATCCCAAAAAGAAGATGAGCAGAACTCTACCCAATCACAAGTATTTCTGTTCTGTCTTCTTAAAAATTAACATGCTGACAAGCTAATGATCAGTTTGCTCCCGGTCCCTATAATTCAATTATAGAGTGCCTTGTTCATGTTCTGGCTTGTAAAGCTTCTCAAGAGCAGTTCAGATTCAATTAGAATCCTAATAGGTGCATATTAAAACTTTGGGAGCATCTGGTTATAGTGTACAGACACTTGGAGTTTTCTTTGCAGGGGGATAAAAACAGATAAAATGGAACTTTGCCTGCCTGGAAATGAAGTTCTGTGATGGCAGAATTTCATTTCTGGTTGAAGTGTTTTTTGTTTAGTACCAGATGCAAGTATGATATAATAATGCTTGTATTCATTAGAACATGGCTGTGTATCCTTGGATTGTAATGGGAGTTCTAGTACTCTTGATACTCATTTTCTTTCCAAGGGTTATCTTATTTATTGGCATTTTGTAATGCAATGTTTGCTATATTCATTCATTTCAAAGTATATAATGGAAAGACCCTACTGCTTTTTGAGTAGGATATTAATATGAGACATTTGTACCTACACATGTGAATGAAATATATATATATATACTGTATATATTAAGTAGTCTTAGTACCATTTAGTTATGCTAGGAGTTATAATGAAAACTTCCTGTTTTATTGGTTATGGATTATTTTAGGTGATTCTGAGAGTAGCTCCTGCTTGTCAGCTATCTGCCTATGGTTAGAGAGCACAAGGCCAGGACACTGAAAAAATTTTCAGTTTGGAGCTCTGTGTTAGATTTTGCAAGTTTTGTCTTCCTATTGTATCTTTGTTTATGACCAGGGATGGCAGAATTTTATCTTATCTGGAAAAAAGAGATGTTCCATCCCATCATTTCATATTTTTCAACTTTAGGGCACATTGAAAGGCCTCTTACTTGATCTGCATTCATTCTCTGATGCTGATGTTCTTGTGAGTCATGTCTGCTGATCAGAACCAGCACACCCAGCCAGCACAATAGGGTTGTGCCCCCTGCCCCAATTCCATAGTTCCATCTGTATGCTCTTTGTTTTGGCTTACGAGTCCTTGCTAGTTAGGGAGCAGTAATAATAGATCCAAACAGAATAAGAAGCTGTGCTTAATTGCAGGTTGTGGTTTATCACCACCATGCTACCCTGAACAAACCTAATTTTGAATGCTAAGAAATATTTGCTCTGGTTCCTATTTAGATAGAAGACTACTAGGGAGTACCAGGGATTTCCAGTAGGACTAGGAAGAATTCAGCCTAGAAAGTAGCTACCAGACTACTCTCTAGGGCTAAATGGGCTAACTCACCTAAAGCATCCTCTTATGTTTATCTATTCATGCCTAGAAAGGAGCAACAAAGTTCCATTCAATACACGGTGCTTATATACCACATGGTTTAATAAGGTGAGATTCATAGCTTTCTACACAGCCTTTGTCCTAAGAGGTTCGTGTGTGAGTGTGTGAGTGAGAGAGAGAGAGAGAGAGAGAGAGAGAGAAGGAGACTATACACTTGTTACCAGTAACATGCACCCTTTGGCAAATTATCCATAAGGCAGGGCATCCCCTGACAGAAAGGTAAACATTCCCTCCCCCTTTGCTAAGACTTCTGCATTAAGGGTGAGATGCTCCCATTCTCAGCTAAGGTCGTTTTTTATTTCTTTTCAGTGAGGTAGAAAGCTTTGCTTATCATTAGCAAGAGGATAAGACAACCCCTCCTCATTTTTTCTTGCAAGTCTTTAAAAGTTGTTAAGTATCTCTGTGCCAGTTCTTCAAGAACAGGGAGGAGACCTGCTGCTTTTATCAGAGATGCATCCTTTCATAGTTCTGGTTCTCTGTGTGGGATATTGTTGTAGGCATATGGAAATAGCTCACTGGGAGATGATAATTTGCTGCCAGGCAACAATGCTGAATTCTTTTCCAGCTCTGCTTTGCTGGAGACATCTGCTTTTACTCCCTGTTAAGAATTTTTTGACTGCTTGTGGTGATAACGGTTCCTGCTACAGTTTTGAGAGCAGCAGCTGGTTTCTTCTATCATTGACTGTCCCTTTCTTTTTCTCTTATATATTTGATGGGGGTATAGTTATATCTGTTGTGAGTATTATTTTTGTACCTGTATTCAAGTTAACCTTAGAATTGCAGAACTGGAAAGGATTGTAAAAATTGGTTGAATATCAGGAAAAACCTTCCAACTGTGAGAGCAGTAAGACAGTGGAACCAATTACCTCTAGAGGTGATGTGTGCTCCAACACTAGAAGCATTCAAGAGAAAATCAGACAACCACTTGGCAGGTATTGTTTCGTTTGTATCCCTTCACTGAGCAGGGGGTTGGACTCAATAGCTTTATAGAATCAGAATCATGATTCTGTGGCCCCTTCCAATTTTATTATTCTATTATTCTATCATCATCAAGTCTAGCCTCTATCAAACAGGCACAGTGGAGAATCAAACTCACAACCTCTGGCTCTGCAGCCAGATACCCAAGCCATTGTGCTGTCTAGCAAGTCCCAACTTTGCTTCTCCAATTAAAAATTTCTGATCTTGGACAGATTCCCAAACCAGGAGACCATGAATCTAAATGTTATGATAAAAGCTGTTGCTTCTGTGTTTTGGACATAAATGTGTTGTATCCTTAATTAATCTCAGTGTGATATATGGGCACTGAACCAAATTCACATTTTAATTGTTTCTTCAGAAAAAAGTAAAGCAAAGTGTGCTGCTTGTATACTTCCCCATAGCACTTAAAGCACTCTCTGGGTGGTTTCCGGTTTAACTATGTAGGCTACACATTGCTTCCCCCAACTCAGTTTACCAGCCTTGGAAGGATGGAAGGCTGAGTCAGCCTCAAGCCTGTTTCCAGAACCTGTTGGGATTGAACTCAGGTTATGAGCACAAGGCTCATTCTAATATCCTATTCAGGTAGGTTTTTTTAAAAATTGCAGTCAGTAAGGGAATAGATGAGGTTTAATGAACCAGAGTTGAATTCAGATAGGACAGGTGCTGTTGACAGGTGAATTAACCACAGGAACAGTTGGATATTTTTTAGATTGGGTTTACATGTCTTTAAAGTGTTACCTTCTAGCTCTAGGGTATTTCTGGATCATCTGTTTTGGCAAGTGTTTTGTTTTGTTCTATTCTGAGTATCCTGTCTGTTTGGTTTTTCTGATTAGTCTGTTTTCAGGCTGCTGGAATTATTTAATTGCATGTTTCATTTGATTTTATGCAGTGTTGTGTTTCTGTCTTACCTATTTTTCTTAATATTTGCCTTTAAATTTTTTATTGCATAATTAAACAGTCTTTAACTTACAGCTGGATTTTGCCATACATTTCTTTTACTTTTTTTTACCCTTTTGGTACTTATGAAGTCACGTTGTGGCTCTCTCGATGCTATGTAGTCTTTGTAGGACTCATGGTAACTGTGGGTTTGTTTATTATAGCAAGTTCCTTAGTTGTTCATTCAGACATAATGAAACACAGTCCAATGTGAAGATAACCGTATTCAGTGGCTGAGCTAGAGAACATTTGTCATGTCAGTTATATGATACAGTCTATCCTAAATTTAGATAGTTGCTGCATTCATATTATCCTATTAAACTCCTGTCTATGAATCTTACTGCAATTATACTTTGTAATCCAGGGTTGGAGGGTTTACTGAAACCATATTTCTCTGGTCCAAATGTAATGACAGTCTATGTTTCAAATAGTCTAGGAAGTATTACGTTAAGCCATTCTTGGAAAGTTGGACGAAATGAAATCACTCAGCTGTGGCTCATTTTCAAACTCCAATCCAGGTTCTGAACAATCACTTGTTCTCTACTCACCTATCTTCAGGACAAAATGATTTATGTTAGGCAAGTCTTCATCTAAACAAAGCTCTTTAATGCATTGTTAACTCATCTTTTTTGGAAGTTACTCATCCAAGTGAGTAATTTGCAATACATTCCATCTCAGTAGGAATTAGAACTGCTGTTTAAATGCCTCTGGTAAGTGGACAATTAGAGGTGGTATGCTAACTGTTGCTTTAATAATTAACCCAATTACCTTTTACGTTTTCTTTAATGGTGAAAGAGAACATGTTAACAAGATGGTTTTGTTTCCTTGGAAACCATATTCCAAGATCTCCTCAGCATATACCAGGTTGATGTTTTTGTTGCATTCAGCCTCTTTTGAGACTAAATTCTCACATGCTCTCAAGTGCTGGGCGTTGCTTTTTAGTTTCCTCAGTTATTTAATCCAAAGGAAGTGCATCTGTGACTGTTAGTCAGTATTAGTACCAGCATCTGATCTTTTGTTGAAGCTTTTAACCTTGCTGCAGTCATATAATGGTTGATTTATTAACTGGCAGATGTCTAGAAGTCCTTAGCTATTTCCACATCTTTGTTGCACCTGTTGCTTCCAAACACATGCAGCTGTACTTGCTGAACAGTTTTGGGCATACAGTATTGACAAACTGGAAATGTGTACAATGAAGAGCAAGAAAGGTGATGGGGTAGTGTCTGAGGATTAAGCTGTATATAAAAAAGGTGAATTAGATGGCTATGTTTAACTTGTTGAAGAGACACTTGAGTAACAATTAAGAAAAGCAGTTCCCACATATTTGAAGGGCTGTTAAATGTCTAACAAACTTGTTTCTCGTCACTTAGATAACAGAGCTTAAAGCATTTGGTTCAAATATCAAGAAAGGGGATTTGACTACATATAAGGACCAGCTGCTTGTTGGTATGGGCTGTTTCACAGTGGAG